GGCAGGGGACGCCTGGAGAGGCGTTATTCTCACTTCAATGGTAGCATCTGGAAAAACGTGACTGAGAAAAGTTCCAGAGGAAGTAGGAGGTGTCCTGTGTGGTCTTCAAAATGCCCACAACTTCTCTGGAGTTTAGGAATTCTGTGGGTCACTGACAGCAGGACCTGGCACGGCGGCCCTCAGCTCAGCCAATGTGAAGTTCAGGTGAGCCACACTCACTAAAACCCGCCTGTCCGTTGACTGTCAGGCCTGGGTGCATTTGTAGACTCCAAGTGGGCAGCCTGCCCTGCCAGCCTGCAGCCTGCTCCGCAGGGTCCCCACTGCTGCTACTCAGCAAGAGTTCACTAAGTTGGTGGCTGTGACCTGCCCAACTGACAGCAGTTTCCAAGAGCAGGTATGTAGCTGACAGGAGTCGACGCCAAGCTCTTGGGAGCCATGAGCAAGCTGAGTTCTGATGTTTCCTGGACATGAAGCCATCTCACAGCTCCTCCCTGAATCCACGTCTCAAGCCTGAAGTCCACCGTGAACCCACCCGCACCCTTCAGGCTGGGACGCTAGTCCTGGTGACTCACAGTGACAGTCCCCCTGTAACAAGGAGGAGACAGGGTTGGAGGTGGGGACAGAAGGCAAAGGGAGCAGGGGCACTCCCAGTGGGCAACCGCAGCCTGAAGCCCTTCCTGCAGCCTTACTCAGGAAGTGAAGGTCCTGGGTAGGAGTCATCGCCCTTGAGCCCTGGGCTGTCTCTGTATACCCGACCCTCTTTGAGATGAAGCAATCAGCTCCCTTCTATGGATGAGCACACTGAGGTGCACAGAGGTAGTCTGACTTGGTGGAACCATCGTGAGTGAACAGTACAGCTGCTTTCACGTCCCAGGTGGGGATCCAGAGTCCTTGCCACCCACCACAGGGGCAGTGCCCGCAGCACGTCCAGAGTGGGTGCTGCAGAGACCCACTGACAGCTCGAGGATGCGCAGGACCCAGTCTACTCCCCAGGAGCTGGCCGCACAGGTGAAGAGAGGCGATAGTAACTGCTCGGAACTGACGCACTGAGGACCCACTGAAGGTCGGGCGGAAGGGTGACTGGATGTCGGACGCCATGCCCACCTCGGTATTTAGGGAGGGCTAGATGGCATCTAGGGAAAATGGTGCTTCCTCTGCATCTCTCCACACCAAGCTGGGTCCCCCTGCAGGACAGGGGCCAGGTCTTATGTGTGACCCTGCTCTTGGCACCTGTCATAGTGCCTGGCACAGA